GCCATCACTACTAGGGTGAAAGCCATCGCTATTAGGGCGGAGGCCATGGCTATTAGGTTGAAGGCCACCGCTATTAGGTTGGAGGCCGTCGCTACTAGGGTGGAGGCCATTGCTACTAGGCTGGAGGCCATCGCTATTAGATTGGAGGCCATCGCTACTAGGGTGGAGGCCATTACTATTAGATTGGAGGCCATCGCTACTAGGGTGGAGGCCATCACTATTAGATTGGAGGCCTTCGCTACTAGGGTGGAGGCCATCGCCATTAGTTTCCATTGTTTTTAGGGACACTGAACTCAATAGCGCCAGAACGAGGGACACTCCCACCGACTTCCTCTCTTTCCGACGTGTGAACTGTGATTTTGCAATGCGCCGTTTGAGAATCGGCCAAGTGAAGTGCACATTTTCAACATGCACCAAGTAGACCCGGAAGCTCTAAAGGACCTAAACACATAGGATTTAAAGTTACTGGGCATCAGTGCAGTGCTGTTTTGCAAGTGGTAGGGGCAGAGGAGAAGACTTCTTGACAAAGTGTTGAGGAAGACACTATCTCCTACCACATGGAGAGGGTGATCTTCTATTTGACTCAACCTGGCCTCCTCCACGAAGCACAAGTTCGAAACGAAGCACTCATGCGAAACGTCTGCGTGGAAGCCGCATGCTGCGAGTGAGCTGAGGGTCCGAAAAAGCCTGTGGCTGGCGGGTGGAGCTGAACACAGTCGGCCATAAATGAGGGCATCTCTTCCAAAAACATTTGATAAAGTGTCCCTCAACCCCAACAGTTTTCTTTTGGTGCGCGTAGGACTTGAAACATCAGCTCAGCATCCAGACAACAACCTAAAGTAGGTGGTGAATAAAAGCTTGACATGTGGAAGATTCGTGGATGTTTGCAACATGGCCGGCTTGGCGCTGCATACCTCGGTGCGGCGAAGGGTTGCCATAATTGAGATCCTTCCGCCGCACGTGTGGTGCAGCCTCCGCTCCGCTGATCGGGTCAAGTTTCACCAGAGAAAAATAACATACCGAACGGAGCCATTGGCATGGCTTGACACGTGTGGGGATCCCTTGGTCACTCTTTAGGACATTCAACCACGGCGGACCCTGCATAGGAGGCCACTGGTTTGGTGAATTGGTTCCTCCATGTTCCTCCCATATCCTTCCACAAGGTTGTGGTGCATGTTTAAAACTTTTCGGTCAATCTTTAGAGCCGCAGCCGTTTTTTCCGGAACATGTATGAACTGTTTTAACATTATGTTGTTTTCTGTGTTGAGAACGGCTGGGCTTTGCAGCTCAACAAGTTAGGATGACATTTGCGAGCGTTTGAGTCGCGAAGTGTTGCAGACCTCACTTGGGGTCAAACGATGCATGTATCATTGTGGCCCTTGCTGTGCGAGGTGTTTTGTTTTTGCTCTAGCATAGCATGACCCTTCAAGTCGTGTCAGATCACACGGCAACAGGTGAACGGACGATGCAACGCCCACTTCCTGAGATGGCTGGCTCTGCATGAGATACCTGAGAAGTATTCGCACCGTGAAAGTGAGCAATGGACCAACTACGAAGGAGAGTTATAGGCACTGCAGACACAAGTTGAAATAAGAGCTTAAACGCCTGGCGATTTTTGGCAGCCGGACCATGTCGTTGGCGGACGCCAATTGGCAGCAGGACTGATGGAATGGTGGGGAGGGATGGCGTCAAGGTTCCCCAAGTACGCGTCAGCGTCACCTGCATTGCGGAGACTATTGCAATGCGGCCTCTCGAGACCCAAATGGAGAGGAGCACCATCGTGCAAGCCCTAGCAAAGTGCCACCTCAGCAGCAAAACGCACGACTTCATGTCTTACAGCTCGACGTTCACGCCGTAGAAACATACAGCCATAAACGCCCAAGCCTAATTAGTTACTTCATCAACGCCGCTCAACATATGAGCAGCGTTTGGAAGTCACCCAGGCGCTGCCGCTAGCGCTTGTTTGGAGTTCTCGCTTTGGTTCAGCTGAAGGGTCACCGACACCTGGTTGAACCCATCGACAAAGGATTGGTCTCCCCGTTTCCCTGGATTTGATGGACGCATACTGTTTGATCCTATTGGATTCCCATAGGCATGTCCTTGTAAAGCATTTCTTAGCGTCATTCTACGCATGTTCCTCTTAGACTGTCTTTTTCCGCTTTCATCCCCTTCTCAGCCCCAGGATCGAAAGGCCTGTTTGGAGTGCCTAGCCGCCGTCTGCCGGGACCCTTCACAGTTCGGCCTTGCCGCCGACCTGGAGCGCATTTGGGCGGTATCAACGGTTTGGGGTTGTTGAAGCGCAGATTTGCGGAGGGCTTTTCTCTGTGGATGTGGGGAGCCCCTGCCAACCCAATGACCATGTCAGGATGCTAGATTCCAGCCATTAATGAACCAGCGAGTTTCAGATGGTTTATTCTGTTCCACCAATTGAACATGAAACTAGATGAAACTAGTAGCTTCTTGCTCCTAATAGCGATGGCCTCCAACCTAATAGCGTCCTTGCTACAAGGTGCAAGCAAATCGCAGGCCACGAGGCGAAGTGACCTCCAGCCGTACTGCGCTTTTTGGTGCCAGCTGTTTGACACCGTGAAAAGCTGTGCGCAGGAGATCATCCGCCCCAGCGGCTTCAACCTGCAAACGGCCCAGTTCGATCCAACGGCCTTGAAGCGGCCGAAGGCAGTGTGACATCCAAAGAACTCTCTGTGGTTTCGGGAGCCGAGAGGGGTTGAGAGTTGAGAGGGGGGGCTTTGGGGTTTCACGCCGCTTCAACGATGTTGTTGAACCACGGGTGTTTAGAGATGTTAAGTTGAATCTTAAACAACTGTATATATATATACATACAGTCAGTTACACACTATATTTAGGGTGTAGCCTATGATATACCAGTAACAGTCAGTAAAAGACTATCGATCACTATTTTTGAGAAAGACCTCCACTAACCATCATCATCCACTGTTACTGGCAATGGGAAAGACCCAAACTATATTGTCATATCGTACAATTATTCAGTGTTGTCCTCATTCGAGAGTTCAAGGGGCGTTTAGATGTGTTCTGGGGAGGGTTCGCATTTTCCATCCTCAATTGTAGGCTTTGTGGAGCAGTAGGAACTTGAAGGGGTTCCATTACCTTAGTCGTCTATCCGAACAGTGAGCAGACTCGACTTCAGCCTGACCTCCACAGGACTCAGCCAGTCGCCCAAAAGGCCAGTTCGTGTTGGGATCTGGCCACGTGAGCAATCCGTTCCAAAGCAGTTGAAGCAGATCAGAAAGGGCATTCAGGCATTCACTGAGTGAAACGCCACTGTAGAAGGAACTTTTGTAAAAGGCGCATGCATGCGCATGCCTTTGGTGAAACCTTCGCGCATGTGTCTGCAGGCCAAAACGGGAGCTGCCGGGTGCCATGTGAAGTTGAGCTATGTTGAGCTACCTATAGGTGGATGGTCCATGTAGGGAGCTGGGAAGCGGAACCTTGTGAAGCTTGGGACCAGCGATCGGGGTAAACATGGTGAAACAGGTTGAAACTGAGAAAATCGTGCAGGCATTCGCTTCCATGTTGACCACACTGCCCTTTCGGCCCCATGTTTAGGATCCTCGAGCCACTGACCTTTTCGCGTTCGAGCGGTGCGGAAATGGTGCGCGGCTGACACGTCGTGCTTTGACAAGTTGGCACCGGAGCCTCGCTGGCAGGTGTCTCTCGGGAATGCCGATTCCCTTGCTCTCGGTTGGCCCCGTTCCGACCTTCAACATGGCTGAGGACGATGGCGAGGACGGCGACGACTTCGATCTGTTCGCTGACGATGCCACCTCCCATCACTCAGGATGGTCCGAGCCACCTGCCAGGCCAATCGCTGAGGCCTTTGATGTTGAGCCCAATGAAGATGAGCAGACGCCGACATCTCCTACGAGCTGGCGCTGCCTCCGCTGTGACTCCACGAGGGCGACCTTGGTGAGCCAATTTGGCCGTTGGCATTGCTTGGATTGCGGAAGCCATGAGTTCTACCAGGTTGACAAGCCGACCAAGTCCGTGACTTCGACTGGCACATGGATGTATGTTCCTAATGCCCCTGCTGCAGCATCACCTTCCTCGAAGGGTGGTCGCCGGCGGAGAAGGAAGAAGAGTGCACGAGACGGCGGAGCCCCTGGTGATGACCATGGCCAGGACGACGACGAAAATGAACAAGCCGAATCAGAACAGTTGACCAATGACCCTGTCATCGACCCCTTCGATGGAAAGAGAGGGCCACGAGCTGGACACCTCCCTCATTCTGGGTTACCTCATGGAGTCCCTCCTCAACGGCCTGACCAGGCCGGAGCAGGATCACCACTATCCCCTGACGATCGACGACCAGCTGGAGGTGCACCTGACCACGATTCACCTGTACCTGTCCTACATGTGAAGACACCCTCAAGGCAAGGAGGTCAGACCGACCTTCACAAGCTGCCGGATCCTCAACACCTCCGGCAAGTTGGAACTCCAAGAAAGGGCCCACGCCCGGAGTGAAGTGGAAGTCGGGGCAGCCACCCGCTGTTCCGACATCCGACATAAGAACGACCAGAACGACATGCGCGCCTTTGCAAAGTTCACGAAGAAGATCGCCATATGGCGCCTTCAAATGGAAGCCTACGCCAGCCCCAAAGAGCAGGCCCTGATCTTGTACAATGGCCTCACCGGCGAACTTGAACAAGAATTGGAACACTTCTCCATTGAGGACATCTTCAAGCCGGATGGGGTGGACGTCATCATGGGCTTGCTCAAGAAGCCGTTCGAACAACGCCTCATTTACCAGAAAAGGAGATTTCTGCACGAGTTCGAGACCTTCCGCCGCTTTCAAGGCGAGTCGATGAGGGCACACGTGCAGAGATTCAGGAGGGTGCAAAGATCCCTCAAATCCGTCGGAGTGGAGATAAGCGGAACGTTTGACTCCGACTCGCTGGGCTCCAGACTGCTGGACCGCAGCGGCTTGTCCTACCAGGACCAAAGGATGGTCCTCATCGGCGCGCAACAAAGCCTGGACTTTGAGACCATCGCCGAGTGCTTAGTCCTTCAATGGCCAGAGTTCAGGACCGCTCCACTCGTCGTGAACAAGGACGGACAAAGCAAAGGAGCTGGCAAGAGCAAGCATGGAACTTCACCGACCTCATCGACGACCAGCGGATCTTCGTCTTCGGCATTCACGAAAGGTAGCGGCAAGTCCATGAGCAGTGGCAAGTCCATGCCACGACGACAGACCTACATCACCGAGGTCATTGATGAAGAGGCCTTTGAGGCCGATGAGTTCGAAGATGCTCATGAACAACCGGACGAACTTGAAGCCGAAGCCGAACAAGAAGAGCAACCAGAAGATGAAGAAGGCCAAGAGGCCACAGACGATGTGACCGACGACTTGACCCACCTCGCACAGGTCGTGACGGTCACGGCTCGCAAATTGAGTGGCATCACCTTGGGTCGCAAGTTTTCCACCGGCAACAAAAGCAAGAAGTCACCGGATGAACTCCGGAAGGTGACACATTGCTCAGCTTGCGGTGCTTTGGGGCACTGGTATCAGGACCAGGCATGCCCGATGAATCAAGGAGCTGGAGCTGGAAAGGCTGGCAAGCCCGGCAAGGGGTCCAAAGGATCTTCAAGCTCGAGCTACCGCCAGACCTCAGGCCCTGACAAAAAGGCTGATCGTCCTCATCAGGTCAGCGTGGTGCACCATGAGCACTTGTCCCTCGAGGTGAACGATGCACCCCCCTCAGACTATGGTACAATGTTTGCCATCAACATGGTCACCAACCTCCCTTTTCAGGTTCATGAGACCAAGGGCTTCGGGACTGGACACGACCTCACCGGCTACATGGTTTTGGATTCAGCCTGCCAGAGAACATGCGCTGGCAAAGCTTGGTACCGGTCCCATGGTGACATGTTGTTCAAGCACCACCTCAAGACCAAGGAGATCCCCTCGGAAGATGTATTTCAGTTCGGCAAGGGTGAACCAACGGTTGCACACGTAAGGGCCTACATCCCAGTGTTTTTCGACAACCACCCCCTTGTTGTTGGAGCAGGCATCCTCCCGGAAAGCATTCCCTTGTTGGGAAGCAATGCACTCATGGACTCCCTCGGTTCGATCATCGACCTGCCGAATCGAGTTGTTTACTTTTCATCATTGCAGTGCACAGTGCAGTTACATGTCAAAGGAGGTCATTTTGCTGTTTCCATTTTGGATTTCAACCACGAGCATCCACAGCGTCTTCATGAGTGGAAAGCGTTTTCTGCACCACATGTTTGGCATGACCCACACCCTGAACTTCTCCTTCCGCCATGAACGTCAAGGTGTCCGCTTCCACCTTGACATCCAATTCGTTGTTGAAGCCGCCCCAAGACCTTCCTCATGCGGACGGCGCCGCCCGCATGGCTTCAGCGCTGGCGCCGCTTGGTCTCATGCCTCGAGGCCTTCAAGAGGAACATCTGGATCTACATGGCGGGGGGCGTGCGATTGGGCATCATGCCCAAGGCATGGCTGGACCATGCAGTGCCGCCGGAGATGAGCCCACGACTTCATCCCGAGAAGTGCCAGCGCACGGTGATCAAGAGGTACGGCAATGCGCATGGCAGGTTCGCTCGTCGCCAAACCTGCCTTCGAAAGTGGAAATGGAACAACAAGAAGGAAGATTGGGACATCTGGTCTTCCCAAGGAGGTGGCTCTCTCGCTTCCTCTTCTCGACAATTGCCATTGCCACAGCCGTCATCGAAGGCAACGGCATCTGCAGGGAGCACCAGCAAAGCTCGACCGAAGCCCAAGGCCAAGAGCACGGCAGCACCATGTTCGACCTGGACATCAACTCTTTCGGGTTGGACGAGCTTCGAGATGGGCTACACGCTCCACACCGACCACTTGACTCAGGAGGAGCAGGTGGAGGTCTTCAGGATCCTGGAGCAGAGGTCGCCGCTGGAAGCAGAGCCGACCACCGTGGCGGAGTTCGCTTTCCTCAACGAGGAGCACTTCAGGCCTCACCGGGAGAAGCTGGAGTTGGCGGCCGATCGAAAGAGGCACGAACGCCTGGCGGAGCTGGGCGTGTTGATCAAGGAGGACGAGGAGATCATGGACTGGGGCCTCATCGACGAGATTGTGAAGTCAGAAGGGCCAATGGACCAGATGGTCCTCCACGAACCATAGCTCTCAAAAGCGGCCAGGCAAAACGACTTCGAGGAGACTGGAACAAGGCCGCTGACATCCTCGAGAAGGAGTACCAGGTCTATGCAACAAGCAAGCCGACCATGGAGAGACCTCCGCCCTATGCTGACCTCTGGGAATTGTTCGCTGGAAGCCCAAATATGACCCGGTTGGCAGCTCACTATAACCTGAACACCTTGCAGCCCATGGACCTCCTCTATGGCCAGAACTTCAAGGACCCAGCCATGCGTAAGATGATCTTCCAAAAGCTCGACCACTATAAACCTTGGCTGGTGATCATGGGAGTGGACTGCAGGTTATGGAACCAGTTCAACATCAACCTCAACTGGTCTTCACCAGACAGGCGGCTCGCACTACGCCACTTGCAGGACGATGAGAAGGTTCTTGTCGAGTTTGCCGTGGCGGTCGCACTACGACAACACCGGGCAGGGCGCTACTTCCTGCTCGAGAATCCACAGGGGTCACAGCTGTGGAACTTGGAAGAGGTGACCGACCTTTTGGGCCTCCGTGGAGTTTGGACCACAGATCTAGACTGTGGAGCTTATGGAGCTGAAGTTGATGGACAACCAATCGCAAAACCAATGAGATGGGCAGGAAATCAACCTGGCCTACATGAACAGCTCAACCGTCGGCTCACACCTCTCCAGAAGATGTACTGCACTCCCATTCAGGGCAAGCTCACAAGACGATCTCAAGAATACCCTGATGAACTATGTCATGCAGTACTTCAGGAGCTCCGTGCACTGATCTTCCAAAAGGAGCCCCTACGATTCGGACCACCACAACACAAGGTCTATGCAACGGCCTACCCAACGGCCGATCTCGACCTATGGGACGACATCGTGAAGTACGTGGACAATGTCTACGAAAGAGGAGCCAAAAGACCTTTCAACTTCCCCCTGGACTCCGACATGGGCAAGAAGATTCAAGAGCTTTTCCGCATCAAGGCCGTGCGCATTCAGGCTTTCTATGCTCCGACTTCTAGGAGGATTCCGGCCAATGTGGATGAGTACTTCACGAGAGCAGCATTCAGTATGCTGACAAGACCCGAGCAGTTGAGGTCGAGGACTTGGACCAGATCGAGTTCCCAAGACAGCGGTTCTCAAAAGCTGTCGCCTTTGGCATCTTCGCCTACGGGTTCAGGACGGAGACCACTTCACCGGCTACACCGGCTCCAGATGCAGACAGGGCCATCATTCCAGGCCTCACGACCGACATCTCCTTCAGCGGTGTCGATGGAGTTGACCAACACGTGAAGCGGTCGCTTGCACGGCTACACCTGAACCTGGGACACCCCAGTACTCAAGAGCTGATGAGGCTACTGGCACATCAAGGACGCATCCCGGCAACAGTCATCAAAGCAGTGCAGGGCATGAGTTGCTCTACATGCCAACGGCTGAAACCACCTCAAGAACCACGACCAACCAGTATGCCTTCATTGGTCGCAGGACAATTTGGTGATGAGCTGCAGGCAGATGTTTTCTACTGCCGACTACTGGATGGCACTTCGTTTCCGGTCCTTGGCATCATTGACAGAGCAACAGGTCTCCACATGGCTGGCCTCATGAAGAACCGGGACTCGGAGACCACCTTTGAGCTCCTCACCGACCTTTGGCTTCGACCTTATGGTCTTCCTTTGAAGTTCTCATGCGACCCGGACCGAACATTCCGGGGAGAGTTCGAGAAGCGCCTGATGTCACTTGGCGTCCTCGTTGAACATTGCCCACCAGAGGCCCACTACCTCATCGGCATGATCGAAAGACGCAACGCCATCTTGCGCCTGACCATCGAGAGGCTGATTGACCAGTTCGCCATCGTCGACTTGGCAGACGTCCCACTGATCCTGGTCCAGGCATGTCACGCCTGCAACACAATGGCATTCACCAGACGACGCTCTGCATACCAAGCAGTCTTCGGAAGGGTCCCACGGCTGCCAAATGATGTGCTCACAGACGGACAGGTTTTGAGCACCTCCACTCAACCATTCCGTGACCCTGAACATCCTGGACTACGAGCAGAACTGGTGCGCAGTGAAGCTCTGAAGACTCTCATCGATCTTAATGCACAACAACAGTTCCGTCGAGCTCTACTGCGCAAGACAAGAAACACCAGCATCCCAGACCTTCAACCTGGACAACGATGCGTGGTGTGGCGCTGGACGAAGAAAGGAGTCCGCAAGAGAGGCGCATGGCTGGCAGCTCGATTTCTGTCATGGGATCCTGCCCATGAAGGAAAACAAGCCTGGGTGAGACTTGGTGCATCGACCACTTTGGTCACGGCAGAACAGCTCAGGGCTGCTCATTCCTTCGAAGACTGGTGCCCTGACGAGCAAGACATCAAGGTCTTGAAGGACGCCAGCAAGAACTTCGGCCAGCACATGCTGGAAGATGAGCGCGGTCCACCACCGCCTCAAAAAGCCTTGACACAAGACGCTCACTTGGAGCAGGAGGCGCTGGAGTATGACAACACGGCACCACCGATGACACCAGCAATGGCTGTTCCGGCAACACCAGCTCAAGCCTCACAAGCAGCACCAAGCACACCAGCACCACAGGGCAGCACTACCGCAAATGTGCAGGTCAACATCGACAGCCCAACCCACATGCACCATCACACCACGGTGCAGACACTACAACGGTTTGGGGACCTTCCCAAACAACTTCGCACTACGAGGTCGAGAGGACCCTCCACACCTTTGGAATCAGCACACTCCAAACGGACTCGTGCAACACCGGCTGAACTAGCACATTTGGCAAACACTGCCACGGGCGAAACGGCCCCAGCAATCGCACCGCACAGCGAGTTTCACCAAGCAGAGGTGGACACACCTCAGGCACCTACCATTTTGGAGGAGCCACAACACCCGCCAGAAGGTCCTCAAGTCACCTTTGCACCTACACCGGCAGAACTGGTACCAGTACCAGATGATGAGGACCTGGCAGAACCTCATGAAGTACAACATCAACAGGAAGCAGATACAGATGCAGCAGCAGCAGGAAAAAGCACTGAAGACGCGGCAGCTGCAGAGCCACAAGCAGAACAGGCACACGCACCACAGCCAATGGCTGATGAACCACTTCCAACACTGCCAATGAAGAGGCCATTTGACACCTTGGCACTCTCACTCGAGGAGGACGGCAGCTTCTCGTTGGCAAGCAGGTTCTGGAATGGCACACCGCCACAACACTATGGGCCACAAAGCAAAACCTTCTCCAAGTGCTACGCCACTACAGCACAACGTCAACAGGACATAGCAAACACAGACAAGCCGGCAGAAGAGTCTGACACATCCGTGGATTCGGAGGACTCTTCAACACAAGCAGACAACAAGCAACCGCAGCGACAACACCATGCTGCAGGCCTCACCAGGCAAGAAAGAAAGCAACTGGACAGGGAAATCCCCTGGCGCCACATTCTGACCATGCCAGCTGCCTACGTTGACAAGTTCTTGGCAGCCATCGAGAAAGAGTCCAACAGCTGGTCAGAGTGGCAAAGTGTTCGACCCCTCACCAAGGAGGAGTGTCGCCAAGTCCTCCAGGACAAGATCCTGAGGAAGAGGATCATGCGCAGCCGCGCATGCTACAGGGACAAGAACGTCGGCCAAGGCGAAGTCAAGGCCAAGTGCCGCATCGTCTGCCTCGGTCATGAGGACCCTGACCTCGACCGGCTCTCCAGGTCATCACCGACCCCAGGCAGGACCATTGAGATGATCTGCTACCAGATGATCGTGTCTGGACTCAATGGCGAGCACTTCAACACCACCTTAAAGTGGTCAGCCTGGGCGGGAGATGCTCAGACGGCCTTTCTCCAGGGCCGACAAAAGGACAGCGAGCGCCCCTTGCCGCTCTACATGAAGGCGCCAAAGGATGGGCTGATCTCCAAGACGAGTTGCTGGTCCCACGAGCTGTATATCAGATCCTGGGCAATGTCTACGGCCTCTCAAACGCCCCACACCTTTGGAGCGAAGAAGTCTCTTCAAGACTGTCCACCATGGGCTATGGGCGACATGCCTTTGATCCTCAACTCTTCATCAAAAGGGACAGCCAAGATGATCCCATCTCCGCCATCCTCGTCTACGTGGACGACTTCCTCGGGTTATTATTCAGAGAAGATTATGACATCTCTGAAGTCCAGAAGCTCTTCCGCTGGGGCGATTTGAAAGCCTTTGAGCCTGGCAATCCCATCACCTTCAAAGGGAAAGAGCTCCTCATCGAGACCACTGATGAAGGTCGCTACAAGATGAGCATCAAGATGGAGAAGTTCATCGAAGGGCTCGACAGCGGCAAGATCCCCAAGGGCAGGTCCACACAGGACCCTAAGCTGACGGCCTCAGAGCACCAAGAGTTTAGATCCGTCAGCGGATGCTTGCAGTGGACTGCAACCCAATGCCGACCTGAAGTGTCGCCACTGGTGTCCCTGGCCAACCAAGGAGCTGAGACAAGCTATGTCCATCTCAAATCCCTCTACGATGGCATCAGCTACCTGAAGAAGACAAGCTCCCAAGGTCTTTGCATCCAGGACATCCCCTTCCGCAAGGACACACTCATCCTGGCCTTCTCAGACGCCAGCTGGTGCAATGCAAGCCGCTCAGGCTCACAGATCGGGCTGCTAGCAGGCTTGACTACTCCCTCCGTGAAGATGCAGCCCACGAAGTACACGGTCATCGACTGCAGGAGCTGCCGAGCTCCAAGAGTGTGTCGATCGACACTTGCCGCAGAAGCCTGTGCAGCAGATGAAGCATCGGACAGAGCAAGCTATTTGAACCGAATGGCATCCGAGCTTCACTTCAACGAGCCAGCACATCGAGTCGGAGCTCGAATGGCCATGGCCCAGGCCATTGACGCGAAGTCCCTCTATGATGCCTTGCTGGCTGACGCTCCGAACATATCGGACCGGAGAAGCTTGGTCTCGGTTCGATCGGTGCAGGAGGTCATGCGACCTGACCAGGTCCACTGGATTCCAACGAACTATGAGTTCGCCGACGGCCTGACCAAGGTGGACGAAAAGCTCATGTACATGTTCAGGGCATGGCTTGAAAGTCCCATGGCTGTCTTGGTCGAGCATCCTGAGAACGCCAGCATTTTGGCGAGGTTGGAGGACAGTGTGGCCAAAAAGAAAAAGACCAGTGAGAAAATCGTGCAGGCAATCGCTTCCATGTTGACCACACTGCCCTTTCGGCCCCATGTTTAGGATCCTCGAGCCACTGACCTTTTCGCGTTCGCGCGGTGCGGAACTGGTGCGCGGCTGACGCGTCGTGCTTTGACAAGAGAAACAGATTGAAATGCTTGGCTAAAAGGCTTGGCTACAAGTATGATGAAGTGCGGCAGTTTAGAAGCCCATGAACACCGGAAGGTTGGTGAAGGGATCAAAACCCTCAAAGCAATCCTCAAGTCTCATGAATTAGGGGGCCCACTGGCTGCTGTTGTCCAACATCGGGCCCTTTACCTGCTCAATTTTTTATATTTTTCCAGGACCACTATGGCTGCCCCACTTTGCCTTTTTCAGTTCTCAAGTCGTTGAAATTCATTGACGTCGGGCGAGGGGCCCGACGATTTTGGCCAGAGGCTGGAAACCATCCATTTGGCAAGACCCAGGCCAGCCGCTGTCAATGTGCTGACTCCGAGCTTCCTTCACTAGAAGGTCACTAGGGTTTGCTTCTCCAAGCTTCCAATGCCACATCCGGAAGTGGCCCTGCTGCGGCTGCCCTTGGACCCATCGCTCTGGCAGCTCCACCAGGCGCTTGACGTCGAACACCTCGAACGCCTCCGCGACCCGCGCGCGGCGACGGTGCTGCTGGCGGAGCTCGGGCGGGCGAGGCGGAGCGACCTGACACTGGGAATGCTGCAGGTGATGGCGGTGGAGCGGGTGGAGGTGAACGTGTTTCACTGCAGCTGCAGTGCGGCTGGCTGTGAACAGACCACGAGGTGGGCAGAAGCCTTGCAGGTGCTCTCTTGGATGAAGAAATGGCAGCTGGAGCACAATGAGTACACTGAAAGCATATCTCACAAGGCTTGGGCTGACCTCCCCCAGATCATTGGGAGTGCCTTTTATTTCAACATATTTCAACTAACCCGACCGAAAGGTCCAGTTCAACCTTCTACTGGGGTCATGCTGCAAGATGTTTGTTCCTATTTTGTGATACTATGACATGTTCCGGCTCATGTTAGCTTCGCGATGAGGCCGCGAAAGATCCGCGAAGGATATCGTTTTTTCCGCGAAGAATGGCCATTTCAGGATGAAAAAATATTGATCAACCACCATGTCTCGTTCTGCGGACGCTGCCGTTGTGGTCGTGGCTGTTGTGTGTTTTTCTTGTGGTTGCACTTGTGGTATATAGGTGTGCTTTCCGTGGTCATGCCAGCGACTATGCCAGTGTAGTTTATTGTCGTGTGCGTTACGATGTTTGTCACAGTTCTCATGCATGCCAGGTTAGTCATTGTTTGTCTTGAGCCGCAGTATGCCATGGTGGGGTTTGTTGTAGACTTCGTGGACATGGTGGCGGGGCTCATGGTCATGACATGGTCATCGTGGTGGTTGTGGTGGTCGTGGTGCATGATGCCGCTTTGGTTATTGTTTGTTATATTCTTATTCTTATTTCGGCTGACGTTGTATGTTTTTGGGCCGTCAGTTGTCGGTGGTGTTTGTTCGAGCCAAGCACAATCCACCAGCCATCTATGGCGCTCATTTGGAACAATACATATCAGTAGTCAGCATCAGGCTAGCCTTCACTCCTCTCACCCACTGGGAGGCCTATGCTCAAGCAAGTTGTTGGCAGCTGGCACTTTGCAGCTTGTCTGGATCCATCCCAGTCTCAGCACTCACAGCCTCCACAGTTTCCTGGGAACTGCTCTTGGAGATGACCTGGTTTGCGCGCCATGCGCGGACCGAGCCGAGCTGTAGGGCCATCACGTCCGTGGCGGGCCAGGTGGAGCAAGGTGGGGGCGGTGGTGGGCTGAAGGGATAGGTGACACAGCGGTCTTTAAATGTTGAAAGGCGAGGATAGGGATTCAATGAACGGTTCAATCTTTTTTTGGGGGTTGTACTGACATATTCAACTAACCTGCAACAAGTCTCAGCAGGGTCCAACGGCGTTCGGTGTTCGGGGGGGCCTTCCTAAATGAGTCGTGCAGCACTGCCCTGTTGGTGTTTGACTCTGTCCATGCTTCTTATTTGGCGGAGGCTTGGCCAAATGAGACCAACCCATGTAGTGTTTGTGGTCTCGTTTGGTAGGCCTGTTCGGATGCTCCATAGGTCCCCCAATCAGGTCGTTCCTGACCATCCCTGAGGATGGTTGGTGACGCTGAACCTGCTGCAGTGGCTAGGGAGGTCAGGCTCCAGCCCTGATGTTGTAGCATGGGGTGCTGCGAGCAGCGTCTGCGAGAAGTGCGAGCAGTGGCGCTGGCCTGGAGAGCTTTTGCGAACCATGAGGAGCTGTGTTTTTTAATATATATGTGTGAGTGGTCCTGCACGTGATCTTTCAGTGCTGTGTGCAAAATCAGTTGCAACATCTTTTTGTTGTTGCTGTTCCTACAACTCGCCCCGCGTCTTCCAAGTTCCTGTCTCCCAGTCCTGGGTATCTGCGCAGAGCACAACTTCTTGGATCAAGAGTCGTGCGACTTTGGCATGTGCTGCCGAAACCCACGTTTCACCAGATGAAGGCGTCACCGAGCCGTCATGGTTACCAAAAGGTGCCACAGCACGACCCTCACATCAGTGAAGTAGAGACGGATTGCGACTCCCTATGGCACACAGAGCGGTTCAACATGAGCCCTGAGAATGGAATAAGTGTAGACTTGTTGAAAATCGAGAAGGACGATGAGGATGATGATCTCATCTCAGCTGTGGACAAGAAATCCATGTTTTACTTTGTGGAATCCTGGTGGTTTCACTTGCTGGCCGCCCTTGTGATTTGCTGCAACACGGTGAGTATTGTCTTGGAAGCTGACTCAAAGCTGTCAGAAAAACTCCTGGCAAAACTGTTTTGGGTGGATCAATGCTCCTTGATCTTCTATGTCTTGGAGCTCTTCTGTAGGGCATGCTTTTGGAAGAAGCGCCTCCTTTGTGGGACCCGTTCGCTGGCCATGTGGAGTCTCATTGACATTATTGTGGTTGGAGCTGGGGTCCTTGATCAATGGCTTTTCCGATACTTGGCTCCCTATCTGCCCATGAGCGCTGAGAGTGCTCAGAACATTCTGGGGATCATCCGCTTGATGAGGCTTGTGCGGGTCATCAAGCTCCTAGCTTTGATGTTAGACTGGGACTTGTCCTGGACTGAAGGGGCAGGCTTCCAGTCCTTCATTGGGGGTGTCATTGCTGTGAACGCTTTGCTGATGGGCTGTGAGACTGACATCGACTGGGGAGGGTGGTTGGTCTTCGAGAATTTCTTGCTGTGTATCTATGTCTTTGAACTGGTGGTCCGTTTGAAGCGCTTGGGTCGTGAGTTCTTCTCCTGCGACAGCCCAGACATTGTTTGGAACCTTTTGGATTTGGCCATCGTCGTGAGCTCTGCAGGCGACTCGTGGCTGGTGCCGCTCATCAATGTCGTGCGGAAATCCTTTCAAGGACCAGTCCAGGGTGGGCGCTGGCATTTGAAGGTAGAGGTGGTAGAGGGACGCAAGCTGCACATTGTAAGTAATCTATTTTTGCATACAGGCACACACTCTGACATTGGTTTGCTGTTAACTCAATTCCCACGTTGAGAAGGAAGGTGAGGGAAACGCAAGGTGAAAAGGTCAGCGAGAAACAGTATGGTTTAAACGTGTGTTCAAGTGCACTCGACAACGATCGGACACTCAGCGCGGCTGCAAGTCTGCTGCAAGTCCGCGGTGGGAAAAGGTTTTGGGGTCTATCATGCAAGGACCATGGAATCACACAGGAAAGATTGGAGTCACAGCGTGATCAAAAGTTGTTGGTGCAGGTACGTCCACATTCCCTTCCGGCTGGATCCCATAGCTTCGTTGGCATGGCTAGGGAAACAGCTGCAATGCCCCCTGCAACTGTGGTGACAAAGACAGGCGGAACCCTTAGGAACAGGGGGTGACCCACACAGGTAGCCGAAGTCGGCGCAGGCACATGAAAAGGTGGCATCGTCTGCTTTTTTCTCAAAAAACGACGGCATGCAGTTGGGTCATGTCCTTTTTGGACGTACAGCCGGATAAGCTCTTCAGCCGCTGCCGCTGCGGTATTGGGTGGAAAGGTGTATGTGTATATTGCATGGAGTCTGGAAGCTAAGCCGGAAAGAGCCAAGCGCTGGCTACCGGCGCTGGTGGGATCCCTGATTTTCCAGGGTTGTGTGGGTTGGATGTAGGTGATGGTTCGTTGTGGTAGGTCAATGTTAAAGCCCAGGAGGTGAAAGTCGTCCACTGTTTCCAGCTCTACTGGATCACCAAAAAAGTTGTGTTGAATGAGAGTCTGTATGGCTGGGTGGGAGAGGAAGTGTTCGTTGTGCACGATGAAACGGTTGTCGACGTATCTGTAGTAGGTGAAGTGGAGGGCTGTGCGCTGGAGATTGTTGTGGAGCTGGTGCCAGGAGTGTTCAATGAGGGTGATTGCAACGTTGCAAAGGGCAGGAGAGAGTTGGGAGCCAATCCCAGCTCCTCGGATTTGTTTGTAAGTGTTGTTACATGCCCGGAAAATGCAAGTGTTGAGTGCAAAGGCCACAATAGTAGTGATGTCGGATGTGTGGAGGGTACGTTGTGTAGGATGCTTTGTGTAGTGTCTGCCAACATGGGAATGATGGAAAGGGTTGCCTGTGGCTTTTGTGTCCACGGTCAAGGTGTGTGTAGCATGTTGGAGCTGCCATTGTTGGATCAGGGAATGGACTGCATCGATGAGGCGGTGTTTGGGTACCGAGTTGAAGAAGCCGACGAGGTCATCGTTGGTCGTGTGGAGGTGGATATCTGCTGGTGTTTGGGTGAGGTAGCCATGGAAGTGGCGCCATAGTTGCGGGATGGACAGTTGTCCTGGATGTTGTGGGAAAAGGTGTTGTAGAATGATGTCAAGTGCTCGACTGGTGGTGCGTAAGAGGTTGCCGCTCAAAGAGTGGAAGTAAGATATAATGGTGCGTCCTTTTTGCCACTGCTTCTTGGCCTGGAGGTGAACGATACCGTATGGGATTGTGAAGTCTTTGCGGAAGCCCCATTTGTATCGAGTGCGGAGGCTGGCCGGTATGGTAGCTGCAAGGTGGTCGTGGATGTTGGATGAGTGGAGGTGTGGTAGGGGTTCAAAAAGTTCTGGAGCCTGCCATGTGTTGAGTGCTCCTGTAAAGTATTGACGAGGGCAAAAGACTCGGAGCTGTTGGAGCTCGTGATCAGCATGGTGGAGCACCACTTGGTCACCTAGGTATTCTTGGAGTTGACGGAGAAGGCGAGCTGTAAAGCGCGGGTGATGCTTGAGGTGTGCAGTGTGGAGTCGCCATTGGTGCTGAAGGAAGGGTTCCAAGTGCTGGCTGAGCGAGGTAGGGAGTCCTTGCAAACGGAGCCATTTGGTGAAAGCCGTTTGGAATGTGAGGAAGTAGCGGGCTTTGCTGGGATAAAAGGTGCTGCTCATATTGGCGTCAAGAAAAATGCGGAGGTGTGGTGGTAATGTCAGTTGGTCCAAAGTGAGAATGTAGTGGTCGTTTGTGGTAGCTGTGGTTGGTTCAAGAAGAAGGGACTTGAGATGAGAGCAAGCACACGGGAGGTCGCTGGGGTCAGGAGGTGTGTGCAAGGTGTCTTCCCACGCGCGACGGTTGTGTAGTTGTGCCCGGAGTGTCTTGTGGGCAGCTTCGCGCAGGCGATGTGTGGGGAGGTGTAGTGGGATGGCTAAACGCTTGTGTTGTTGGATGGTGGTTTGTAGCCATTGTTGGCAATGTTTGATGAAGTCGTCGTGAGCCAGGAATGGTACTGTAAGTGGAATGTTCGGCTTCGGAGGAGTCAAGTTGCGGTATTGGAGTGCTTTGTTGATGATGTGCAGGGCTCTGCTACGACCTGGCTCTTCAAGATTGGAAGCCATACGTCTGATGGCATACACTTCAAGGTCGGTATGACGCCCACTGCGGGGTTGTTTGGCTGCTTCAAATGAGGCCAAGGTGTGTTTTGTGAGGTTGCGGAGAAGAGTCAGGGCTTGATGTTTGGTGGAGGTATAGAGGTGTGGTTCTCTGATCGTCTGCTGTCGTCGGCGCAGCCGGCGGAAGAGCCGCTTGTGAGTGGCTAGGCGTGAGTAGAAATGTGCTCGGTGTTTTGTGAATTGCCAGCTTTGAGCCTTGAGTTTGAGATGCTGGGAAATGAAAGGCCAATTGAGGGGTGGCATCCAGCTGGAAATGAAGTGGTGTTCTTTGATCCAGGCCTGATCATAGTTGTCATGGGAAGAGAGCTGGATAGTGGTGAAGTGATGGATATTGTCATGTGAGTGCCAATAACGCAGGGATAGTTCAGCGGAAACTGGTATGTTGTTTTGAAGTTGTTTTAGCTTGGCCCGTCGGTTGTGTTCGCGGTGTGGTATGCCGAGGGCTGTGGAGCCCACATAGTAGTGGCCATGTTGGTGGTAACAGCGTTGTGGCTCAATGGTGTTGAAATGGAGTTTGATGTAAGCTGAGTTGGAAAGAAAGTTGTGGTAGTGGTAAGTGTGAGGCAGAACATGCAGGTGGCGGAAGCGTTGACGCCATTGTTGAGATCGTTGTGTGGAAGAGGGATAGCAAAAGAGAAGTGTGAGGTGGATGAGGCCTACGGCAAAAATGGCTTCAGCACGTTCAATGTATTGGGTTTTGTGTATCAGTGTTGAGAGGGCCCGGTGTAGGTGAAAGAGTTGCTGTAGGTGGGTGTTGGTCGGCAGTTGCTGGCTGTGAAAGGAGAGTCAGCACGCAATGGCTGCACCTATGCTGACGATATGCTGTAGGGTTTTGATGGTCAGCTTGTTGACTCGGGCCAATGGCAGGCCATAACGGGTGGCAGCTTCCTTCAGCTTCTTGGCGGAGTCTTGAGAGGCAGGATCGAAGGTGCGCATCCATTGTTGGATTGCCGGAGCTGTCCAAGATTCGGGAACATCATCTTTTAAAGATGGGTGTGGTGGTTGAAGGACATCGGACAGCTCAGGGGGCTTGTGTGCTGCAGGTTCGGCCGGGGCAGCTGGGGCACTGGGGGCGGAAGAGCGACCAGCCTCTTTGCGGGGTGTAAGTTCAATGCCGTGGGCGTGTAGCTTCTCTCGGGCTCGGGCCAGGTCGTCGGAAGTGGCTTTCAAGGCACGAAGGGCGCTGCTGCAGGAGCATGGGCTTGGAGCTGTTGAATGAGAAGGGAGATCAGTGGGGCATGGAAGGCACGAGCTTGCGACTCAGCTTTACTGCGTGTTGGAATGAGGCCGCAGTATTTGCCGTGGCTGAGGGTCCTGGCGGTGTAATCTGCTGTGCCGTGGTAGGCCAGGAGCCACGTAGACGTCGATGCCCGTGCAAGGAG